GTTGCTGCTCTGCTCCCAGGCTGCTGCTGTGGCTTCCTCCTTAAAAAAAAAAAAAAAAAAAAAGCAACTCAGACATAAGAAAAGACAGAAGCACTTCCCGCCTTGCAGTATCTTACAATTTATAAAGTGACTCCCGTAGAGGAAATCATTTTGAACCATCAAAACTAATCACCGGTTTTGTTATTCTTGCAATTTGAGTTTATTTCTTTTGGCTTTCCCATAGGACGCAGGAGTGAAGGCCGTGGGTAGAACGTTCTGAAAGTGCTGGATGAGCCACCCGAAAAACCCCGTTTATTTCCCCTTTGACGCAGATAGACACGGATAATCTGGAACCTTATACCAAACTAAAGTCCTTAAAAAATCTTCTCTGGCTGCAAAGAAGATTTCTTAAAACTAGGAATCCGTTCTGCTCATCATGCATGAGGTTGGCTGTCTTTTTACCCTGTTATAATCAGGCAATCGAAGATGGAAAGAGCACAGGAGGTGCAGGTGGGAGGAGATGGCATCGAGAGAAAGGGTGTTTGCAGGGCTTTGCAGGGAAAGCACAGAGAGAGGAGAAGGCAATGGTCAGCATGAAGGTCGTTTTGGAGTCTCCAATATCTTTACGAAATGCAGCTTTGTCATGGAATCCAAACATCTCTTCTTCTGGACATGATACTCATCACCACCAGGCGTAAGCTGGGCCAGTGAACCAACAGTGGGGCAGGACGCCAGGAGCTAGGAGCAGCACTGTATCTCAGGTTTCCACATCTCTGTTTTGCAGCCATGTGGTAGGAGAAAGAAGCACAACTTGAAATAAAGAAAAGTGTCAGTGGCTTAGAAACACTTTTTCTACCCATCCAACTCTGAACCCTGGATAGAGTGTGCTTGAGAGGACAGCCACAGGAAACAGCATGCCAGCTTTTTCCTTTCAAACCTGGGATGCCCTGGAACGTTAGGAGGTAACAATTTAAATGAGAAAGGGGTTTCAAATGTCCCCTCAAGCACTGCTTAAAATAACCAGTCCTCTCTGGAGCCAAGTACACTCAGGTTATTTCTTGGAAAACCTGTGCACATCAGAGATGATGGACAATTGATCAAAAATCCATTTCCAAAATTATCGGGGCCACCCCCACCCCCTGGTCTGGACTGGTTATTATTCATGGGTGTCAATCTGAGCTAGAGAACAGTAGTTTCAAAGCCACGCACTTAGCACCCACTGAATTCTCAGGCCAATTCTTACAGTCAACAAATGACTGAAGCAAGCAAGCAAGCACCATCATCGCGGTTCAGGCACCCTGCTCTGGGAAAGGTCAGGAGCAGATTAAAAAGGACCTCACGGATACAAAAAGGAGAGAAGTTACCCAACATTTCAGACACTGAGGAGGACCAAAAGACCTTTGTTCTGCCACATTCTAATAAGACCACAGATGAGGACAGGGAGCGAACGGTAAGGATAACTCTTTTGCATTCATTAAAAAAACACAAAACTTTCTTTTTCATAGAGCCTTGCATTGGTCAGTTCAAATATTAAATTAAGTATTATAAACCCTTAATAATAGCATTTTGAGAGGGAAGTGCAGTTCCAGCTCGGGAGAGAACATTTATAAATTGTGGCAGCCATGGCTTAAGGCCACCACTGGTGTGTGCGTGCATGGATGCTGGAGCTCTGCTACAGAAAGGAAAAGAAACGAACCAACAAAACGTGGGTGTCTAAAGTTTCATCTAGTGCACTGACAGGAGGTGCTACAGTTTAATACAGCTGAGGTTCAAGGTCCCTCACACATCCTTCATCCAAAAAGGATGCACCACACATTCAAATATAATCCCATGCTACGCCTCGATGGACTGGCCATGACACACACTCAAACGCAGTAGAGAACTATGAGATTGTCAGCAAGCAGTGCTCCAGAAATTGTTTCTAAGTCATGTCTAGTTTTAAATCTTTGGAATAAAACTGATTTTTTTTAATACCCTCTAACTAACATATACATAATTGCCTCCGGCAAATGGACAGGTTTTCTGTGTGTGCACGGGTTATGTGTATGCTTAGGGTGTTGTTTCTTTTGTTGTTGTTGTTGTTTTGTGTGTGTGTTTAAAAATTTTTTTGTTTTTTTGTTTTTTGTGGGTTTTTTTTGGTCTAAATTGAAAAAAAAAAAGAGAAAGAAAATTCTAAGGGCCAGACCTTGAAACGCCTTGACTGTCCAACTGGCAGCTACGGCATTTGTGGCAAGGAGGTTCCTTTACCCTCGGACAAGTAGTTCCAACATTTCAGTGAAAACAAAGGTTGCAGAAAGTTGAAAACCCAAAATGCCAAGGATCTTGAAGGCTGCTGTCATATATGTGTTTATGTTTCTTAAGTTATTTCCTTTGAAAGACTTCAGTTTTGTATCCCAAGTATGTATGGGTGACATTTTAACAGTCAAGGAGTCAAAGACTCAGAGGAGGACAGGAGGGGAGCCAGCTGGTATGAAGGAGCAGCAACCATGTGCGGACCAAATGCCATATTTGTTTTTGAGACGTGTCTTGAAGGGATGGTCCCAGAATATACAAAATATACAATCTGTCCTAATAACCACCCCGCTTGCTTGCATAGGCCATTGGATGGTCCTAAAGGCAGTCTTTGGAGTTGAGGCCAGCGCCAGCTAGCTAAGAGTGCGGGTAGAGACCAATGTCAGATGTGTGTGGTGGTGTAGGGGAATGAGTGAGGACTGCAAACCCTCCTGGAGTCAGCTTGCAGAGTAAATGTGGGGCCTCTGTTGATCCTGGGTGTGCTAGGTCACAAGTCATGGTGGGCCATCTGTCCCTGCCCCCAAAAAAGAAAGAAAGAAACCTAGAAACATCACCAAAGAAACACTTCCACCCTTTTCCTTAAAGGTCAACCCTTGATTCCCACCATGGCGTTCTGAATTGCGTATTGTAACCAGCCGGGTAATATGAGCTCAGTGGGTATGAGATAGGAAGATAGGGTGATGTTTGTGAAGCCACTAGACTTGGGAGGCATCCTCAGTTTTCCCCACTCCTGAAAAGAGTGGTATTTTTGGCTTTTGTCAGGTCATGACCCAGAGTTAGATTAAGTACGCAGCTGCCCTTTGACACTAGTGACATCTAGGCTGTAACTGGTTATAGGGTAGCAGTGACACACAGCACAGTGGTGGAGCACTATGGGCTGAGGTCATCGTGCCTCAAGGAAGATGAAAGAACTGTGATGTCCGGTCTGATCGGCTGCTTTGAGAGCTGGACATCCAGGTGCCGACAGTATCCTGGAGAGGTTAGGTCCATGGAGAAAAGATAAAACATTTAAGCTTCCAAATAAGCTTTTCAAGTTTTCCTTAGCAAAAAACAGAGAGATTAAAAAGAAAAAATCTAGCACTGGCAATAAGGTGAGGCTCAAGGGATATACTGTGATATATCATCAAGGACTTTATTCTCTTGGCCACTTTGCAGTCATGCTAGAAGTTTCCGGAATCCCTAGTGCATATGGTGTGCAAGAGTCAAAAAGTAAGTAAAGAAAACTCCTCCCTGGAGAGTGAAGTCTAGAGAGATGCAGGCCAGAAAGGTGTAACAACAATGTGTTATTCCAGAGTCTGCCGCCGCTAAGGCCGTTGGTATCAACTCGAAAGATCTCAATGGTACTAAGAAGAACCAAAACCAATCAACAGTCCTGTGAGGAAGTCTGACGCACAGAATAGTAGGACTTTTCACACACAAAGGACAAATAAACCAAGAGTTAATTTTGGCTACCAAACTGCAATTTGGTTTTCTAGGTCATTTTTCCCCCAACTATTTAAAAAGAAACATTAGTGCTACACATAAGCAACTTTAAGACGCTGGACTCTCCTATCAAGTTGCATGGAGAAGCAAGTTAAATAAGCCCCTCGTACTGCCGTCCACCGGCAGAGACGTCGCATCCATTTGCTTTGATTTCCCTTGGCAACAGCGGGAAGTAATTCCAATAGCGCTGAAGTAAGCAGCCAGTCTGCCTTGCTGAGTCCACCTGGTTTCCTTTTTCTTTGTCTTCTACCATCTGGCTAGGGCAAGGCATAAGGAATAGACGTATATATTTTAAATATAGTTGAGTGCATGACAGTGTGGGTGTGTGTGGGTCTGCGTGTGAGAGGGTGTGTGTGTGTGTGTGTGTGTGTACACAGAGGTTTCTAAGCGAGAACTTTCTTCTGCGAGGCAGTGGGTCCCCACCGGAAGTCCAGCCCCCTGCCACCCGGCATCTCCTTCAGACATCAGCCGACGCCATGGCAACTCTGGCCTTCATGGTTTTTAGATATGTCTCTTCATATGGAGGGCAAGATGGTCAGACCTGGAAAAACACCTGGAACACAGAAACAACAGTGAGGATGTTAGCAAAACCCAGGGCAAGAGTTCTGCTTCCAACACCCTTTATATAACTGTTGACCTCACTTTAAAGAGAGATCTCCCACATAAGCTGAGCAATGGGGGGTGCATTGGGGAGCTGAGTTGAGTGTGGGATCTTCCAATAGCTGTGTGACTCTGAGTTCATTAACTTCTCTTGCCTTAAGTGCTCCTCTGTGAAAGGGGGACATTTACAGCACTGCGCTCTCAGGTTAGCTGTGAGAATTAAATGAGATGATCTATGTCAAGTTCTCAGAATACTGCCTGGCATATAGTAAGACCTCAATGCATGTTAAACAGTTGTAATTATCATTGTTAAAGAAGAAATGAATGTGAACATGCTTTGAAAACATGCATCACTGTTCATATACTGTAAATATGGTAAAGAATAACTGGCATGTATCACTGAATAGTCCAACTGACATTTCAATACCTAGATTTCGGTACTGAGCTTTACAATGAAAGCCCAGACATGCTGCCTGAGATACTGACGGACCCACACAGACACTGCATTCAAGTCAAGGAAAAGAATTGAGGAGGGCACGCATTTAATGAGCATATAATAATATATAGGCATCATGCTGGGTGTGTGTGGGGGTCCCTCAGTATCACCCCAGTACCATCCTCAGCAACTTTCTGGGGTGAGGGTCCTCAAACTGTGTATGAATGAATATCTAAGCCCACTCTTTGGACTATGTCTTGGACCCTATGGTTCTTGCTTGAGTGCCCTTCCCAGAATCACAATGGATGCAGCTGTCACATGCCCGTCCCCTGGGTGGCCACCTTTGACATTTTCAGCAGTGGGGGGCTGACCTTTGCCACTAGGCAGTAGTCACATGACTCACAGAGGTGTGGCCAGGACAGCTGCTGAAATTATTGGAAGACAGAAGCTCTCTTTCCCCTGGGGTTTCCATATTGCAAAGATAGCAGCCTGGAGCCACTGTGGGCAAAAGCCTGCCTGAGCAGGAAGTCTACAGAGAAAAGGCGATGGAGGGCATGGCAAGAGGAAGCAAAGTTCTGATGACAACATCTGAGAGCCCGGACGCAGCCCAGCCCAAAGCCAAATCTAATCCTGCTCCTGTTAGGCACCTGAGCTAATGAATACCCTCTGACGCTAACACCAGTCTGAGTCAGGTTTCTGTATCTTACAACTAATAGTGTGGGCTTTTCTTTATCCTAGCATCCTATAGTCTCAGGGTCAAGCTGGAGCCTCAGTCTCGACTCACCTAAGGAGTGATCACGTTTGGATCTAGCTAGGTGCTCTCCCTTGAGGTCCTATTCCCAAAACAAGCCTCTTCCTTCCCTGTGGGAATATTCCACACTCCCTGAATCCTGAGACGCCCCCACTGTGCAAAATCTCTGTTGCGATGTTAGCAAGCTGCCCGGCTCAGATTAATAGCACTTCCTGTTCAAAGCAGGATTTCTGTGTGTTTGTTCATTCCTAAAACAAGCAAATCAAAAACCCACCCTGTCCCCTTACCCCAGTATTCTCCACACCCTGTGTTTGTGTTCGTTCCTTAAATAGGTACATGTATAGGATAATACCCCAAGGGAACAACGCGAAAAAGGACAGAAGCATAATGAAAACTAATAATGAGAAAATTGCAGCAGAAAATAACTGAATCCAATAACATACTGAATAATAACAATGCCCATTACACCCACTTATTCAGACCCTGATTTGGTGTAAGCAAGCTCTTTGGATGACCCTTCCAGATACCTCTACAGGAGATTTGACTTGCTATGAAGCAGCGGGTAAATTCCCTGGCATGCTGAAAATGTTACGTAGTCTGCAGATAATTTAGCACTTAACTTGCCCTGTCCTAGAGCACAGTTCAACACTGTCCACTGCCTGTTCTCTTTCCCTCCCTCTCTTTCCCCTTACTTTCCTTCTCTCCCTTTTTCCTAATAACCTAGAAAACAAAACCTAAACTGGGAAGTTCTCTTTGTAAGTATCTTTTTTCAGGTTAACATCTCCACAAAGAACCCTATAAACAAAGTATTTTTATCTCCGGTGCCAGATGAGATGTCCATCAGACAGTAGCCAAACCAGGATTTAAAGCCCAGTATCTGACTCTAGAAGCCCATACTCCTACCCACATCTGCTTTTTAGGCTGAGACAAAGAGAAGCTGAGCTATCAATTTAAGGAGTTTGTGGTAGGCAGTACTGCCCCCACCCTCAAATATCTGTACCTAATCCCTGGAACCAAGGCTCTGTTGGGTTACATGGAAAAGGGGATTGCATTTGTGGACAGAATTAATTTACTAATCAACTGAGCTCCAAGTAGGGCGATAATCCTGGATTGTCTAGATGGGCCCAGAATGATCAGAAAGGTCCTTAAAAATGGAAGAGAGAACTGGAAGATAATCATGCAGATGGCAGCGGGGGCTGAACCATTCTGAGGATGGGATGTGGAGTTGTGAACCATTGCTGGGGCAGCCTCTAGAAGCTGGAAGAGCAAAGAAACAGACTCCTCCCAGGAGCTGCCGGTGGAGAACACGGCCCTGCAGACTTCTTGACGTTAGCCCAGGGACACCAAAGTGGGACTTTCTGTGCACAGAATGGTAAGATGACAAATTTGTAAAGGAAATAAATACAATGCTAAATGCACGGTCACTGGTCATGGTGGCAACTAGAACATTAATCCAGAGGTTGAGTGGTCGGGCCCGAGCAGCCAGGACCAATGAGAAAGCAATGAAGTAGGCACCGGGAATCTTGCCTGTCCCCAAAAGGAGCTCAAGGGTGCCTGATGGTGAGAGGGAACAGAGGTCCCGACAGTGGGTAAAACCTCTTCACTTTCCTTTCTGTGTCCTGGGAACTTTTGAGAAAAAAGGATTCTTGGTGTAGAAGTTTATTTGAAGGAACCACTCAGTCATGTATGTCTTCAGCCTTTCTTCTGCTTTTACAAGCTGCTGAGGATCTGGCACGATGCATGTACAAGCATCTGCCCTTATCCTTGAATCATTTTCAGGAGAAAAAGAAGAACTAAACAAAGTAACTCTTTAACATGGTATGAGATCTAACTGCACCCCTATGAATCAAATTAACATCATTATTTATATAAATGCTAGAAAATATATGCTTAGAATTAGACCAGATTCCTCACCATTGAGGTTTTTATTTAAATTCAATACACCACCAAGATACTTAGTCATGATTCATTTATATTTGTTAATTTATATTTGTTCCTGACTTCCACAAAGGAATAGTAGAAGGTAATAGATAAACTTGGCATCTAGAAATGCAGAATCAAATAATTTTAAGGGCAATATACCCTGAGGGAGTGCTTATGACTATACAGCAGTGAGGTGACCTTAAATTAGAAGGTCCTTAATAACTGAAATTTGTACATTCAAGAGGACTAGTCAAACCCAATAGTCATTTCTCATGCTTATAAAAAAGACATACTATAGTCATACGGGAATTACGCCAACAGCCACCCTCTAGAACACTAATGGGCTCAGGTACTAGCTGGTATTCTTACCACCTATATGTGCATTGCCATAAGGATTAAAATGTCTCAGACCTTGGTTGTTCTGCCCTCATAGCAGTGCCCCTGGCTTACAGCTCTGCTGAGCAGATAGATGATACTGTGTATGGCCTCGGAGGGAAGCAGAGCCCTGTTTACTACCATCAGCAGCCTGGTGCTCTGTAGGCTAGAAAACAACTCATCCCTCTGGTAACTGGTCACTCAGTGAGCTACATGGTTTGGTCTCATAGTAAGGAAAAGGCGCAACTACTGTGGTGCTTTCTCCCCAACCTAAACCTGAAGCCAGAGGTGACAGAGCCCAGGGTCTGCAGAAGCCTGGGAGACAAAGAATGTAAGTGAAGCATCCGAGTGCAACTCTTGGTTTATCTCTTTCCTCTTCTAATAAATGGGTACCAAAAATTGCTCTTTTTGGAAGAGAAACCACAGAGCAAGTAGGATAATACTTGGCAACAAATGATTTGCTTCCATGTTGAGGAGGCAAAAAGTACTGGCAAAGACAGTGGAAAAGTAGTCACTCCATGGCCACTGCAAATGGACAGGATGGTTATTAAGCCCCAGTGACTGATAGTCATGTGGCCATGTGAGCCCATCACCACAAGAGCTGTTTCTTTTTTCCAGACACAGCCAAAAGTATAAACTTTTTTTGTATGACATTTAACAATCTCAATAAATATTGCCAAAATAAATACACCGCATGTATTTTTTAAAACTGTTCTCTGGATAAAATAAAAGCGTAACTTAGGCTTAGCACATGCTTAAGAAAAGGAAGTTTAAACCCTGTTTAACTTCTAAATAGAACAGTCTCATTGCTCAAACTTCAAGAGGCAAGGTATAGCACATGCACATGTACCAGGGTCCCAACAGGGCCTGGGGTCCTTCTGAAGGTTTCCAATGCCCTCTATTTCTGAAGGTGGAAGTTTCCTAGGAATGCCAACTTCCTGGTTACCCCAGGCCTCCCTTTCCAGAAAAGAGAAATTGGGGTCACTCCAATTTCCCAAGCACCCTTGCAAACCTGTCTCCTCTTAGCCACATTTGAGATTGCAAGGTGCTGCCTGCCATGAGACACTATGAAAGTCCTGCCTCTCACTTCTGACACTGTTGGAAGTGTATTAATGGCCGGTGGCATGGGACTCTGATGCACTTACATCTCCCCCAGTACCACATCGCAGAATCTGTAACATCTGCCCAGCAAACTTCTACTAGTTTCCCCACTTTTGATGAAGAAAATAAAGCACAAGGCTAACCAAATCACCCACCGTGGCTGACTCCTTCACTGAACATCCAGTAAGTTGAATTCATTTATATTTGTTAATTTAAAACCTCTCTACAAAAGTTACACAAATGCCAAGATTGACTGATCATATACTGACTGTTGGGAAGTTGTAAATTCCTTAGCAAGTGAGTGAATCTGAAGTGAGGAATACAAATACTGGTAATTTCCCCAGATTTTGTCCTCTTCCAAGGATTGGAAGAGGCCCCAGCAGGCACAGTCTTCAAGTAAGAGCCTCAGTCCCCTTAAGAGATGGGCGTGTCCTTACTGCCAGCATGCTGTGACAATGCACAAAGAATTCAACCTCATCCCAGCTGACATCATGGAATGTTCTCCTCCACAGGGCTGTGGGGCAGAGTCATCGTCTACAGGACATCTTTCTTAGCCAGGGATAGGAAGGAGTGAACCAGGGACCCTTGAGATGGGAACTGAAGGGAGGCAGCAAACAAGGAGACACTCCGCTGGGACATCTTTGGGAAAGGATGGCTGCTGATTCATGTACACTCACAAGGACTTCGCAGGATGGAAGGAAATGAAACCACAAGTTATGTCCCTGGGCAGCACAACAGAGTTCCTGGGGAGTGGGAGACAATAGCTGTGCGAAGTGTACTTCCTCAGTGCTGGGGGATGGTGGAATGGGGAGGCTATCTCTGGGCTGCAGGAGGCATGGGATCTTTATTTAGTTCTCAAAGAATGAAGATAAGAGGAAAATAGCCTCTTCCGGAAGAAGGAAAAAAGGAGGAAAAACATAACTGGTCCTTTGTAAGCATTTTAAAGGAGCACCAAGCCAACTTGGCCAACCGTGAGACTTGGACATCTCTGGCCTGCTTGCCAAACAGACACTATAGAGGAAGGCCTGGCCAGCAGGAGGTGCAGGACACAAAGGGCAGGCAGGCAGGATATGAGGCGATCGCATTTCCTCCCAAGGACAGCCAGACCTCTGTTGACATCCTGCGCTGTCCCTCCTGCCATCCTGGGAGCTGCTGCCCAAGCCAGGGAACCCTGAGGCTTTCAGGGGCTTTTATCATATTAGAAGCATTTTTCTCATCATAACCGAGACCTTTAGTATTGCATTAAAAATTGGTTAATTTTCTTAAGCTTCCTTTTAAACACAGAAATAGGATTAGAAGAATAACACGCTCAGATGCAAGCCCGTTATTTGATTATGTCTAAACCTAATCCTGCCTTCACCTTGGCCTGCAGAGTCTCCATTTTGGGGTTTATTGGTTGATAAGGCCAGGCCTGTCAGATACTATTACTTGGGGAGTATCTGTTGCTACGTGACCCTTCTTCCACTATCAAATGCTGAAGGTTCAGAAACTGAATTACAGGGTGAGTTCTCAAAGCACTGCCATCTTCTGGGCCCTTTCTTGGACTGCCTTTAAAAGGGGAAGAATGGTCCAGATCTCTAAAGAATGGGGACTTTCTTGAGTAAATTCGTTTTCAATAATACTTCTGAGGAAAGCCTTATGAAGTAACCATTCTGCTGTTAAGCAAGCTATTTCTTTTATGTTATGAAGGATGAGAGAAAGCAGTATTGATGTTAATAAAAAGATCAGAAGCAGCAGCTACCAGTGATCATTCTCTACCCTGTTACTTTTCCTATTATACTAAACTTACCTGTCATATCACCTGCCTGAGGGTAGGAACTGTCTTGCTGATAGTGACTAGCACTGCACCTAAGCTAGTTAATGCTCCTAAAATGGAATCAGGAATCCATGCCACCTCTTGATTACATGTGGAAGGACACACTCTCTCACTGGTTTCCTTAAGGCAGAAATAAAAGACAATTCCAAGGCCAAAGATCTGTGAGACAGGCATATAGCCAATCCAAGAGCGCATACACTGGCCATCCTCCAACCACGTCCTCATCTTCCATCGCTACCCAAGCAGCTTCTCCATTCCCTTACCTGTCGCAGTGGTTGCATTTAAAGGGCTTTGCACCTGTGTGTTTCCTGTAGTGCCTCGTGAGCTCATCGCTCCGTGCAAAACGCCACTCGCATCCTTCCCATGAGCACTTGTAAGGCTTCTCACCTGTAGAAGAAACGGAGGGGCCGTGGTGAGTACCAACTATTCCACACCTGATCAGGTCCTGCTTCTGGGGGCCAGTTTCAGAAAAGGGCTGCATAAATTCCTCTCCAAAGACTACATCTCCTAACATGGTAGCCCATCTTCTCTCTCCTTGTTAAGTCTCCTGGTATTTTTGCTTTTTGTTTTTTAACCTTCAAACGTGGTTTTATAGTATCTTCAAATCTGGAGCTGTCATTTCAGTTCCCAGAGTCAGAACACTTCCTTTGACTGCTGAAGGATCAATTTTTATTTATTTTCTATTCCCTGGAGCACTTTGACCCCCACAGTCCAAGCAGAAAGGAAATGTGCTATTTTCATCTGAACCACAAATGCTTCTAATTCTATTTTTCTCAAGATCCTACAGTAATTTACCATTTCAGGCCTTTTACTCTCCTCCCTCCCCTCCTCTTCTACCACAAACCAGAGCCAGGTAGCTGACTGATAAGACAAACAGCTCAGGTCTCCAAGAACCACTATCCCCTTCCAGTAAATGTCCATCCAGTGGATACCATCCGAGAAGCGCTACCATTTAGGAGCAAAACAGAAACTGTTTGATGACTTCTGTCACTTTTGAAAAATACTGTCACAAAAGTCTCCGTTCAGAAGCCTCTAATTTAATCACCAACTGTCCATATAGAAGAACAATGTACATTATTACAAATATTTTAAAAGTCTATTTGTAGAGCAAGATTTTAGCCACAGGGAAGCTGCTTAGAAGCCTGAAATCTGAGCACTTGCGCTCAAGTGACCTTTCCTAGGGTAAATACAGATGGAGGAATATGCAGGAGAAAGTACATGACTTTGTCTTAGACCTTTCTTCTTTAACCCATCATGTCTGTCACTAAGCATGACAAATATTTACCCTTCCAACGGTATGGTGAGCTGGTTCTAATTACAAAGAAAAATAATCTTTAAAACCCCATGAAAACGTGAAATGGAGCGCCTCTCACTGAAAGGCAGGTTAGCACCGTGGTTAAGAGCTCTCCAGCCAACCTCTCTAGGATTGGCTTCCACTTCTGCCACCCACTGTCTAACCGTGGGCAAGGGTCAGCAATCTTGGGCAATCGTCTAAGCTTGGACCAGTGAATAAGCCTCTCTTAGCCGTAGTTTTTATAGGATAACAATAGTATGTACTTCAAAATGTTAGGAAGGAATAAATCAATATCCATATAAATTATACATTAGACCAGTTGCTGGGAGATATGAAATAATATAACTGGTAAATATTATAAACTGCATAAGTCAAATTTCCAGGATATGGAGGTGCCAAAGTACCACGAATGTGCCATTTATTTCTCCATTTTTAAGAGCTAACTCTTCACTATGCATCCCTTAAGAAGACATACTATACCAGTTACTATACTTGACCTACTTTCCACCTTTCTCTTCCCTTTAAACTCAACTACAAAGCATTCACAATTCTCTACTTGTATCACCTAGAATCAAGCCAAACATGCTTGAAATTTTTATTTCATTAAATTGGTGCCCCAGTGAGCCACTCTTCTGTAAGACCCACGGAGAAGAGAAATGTGACACACGGGCATTTCTTTTAAAGGGGACCGTGAGAACATGAAGGAGGGCTGGAAGCCCAGGAGGGAACCAGCAAAAAAAAGAATCACTAAGCAATGTTCAAAGTTCACCTTCTGGCTCCTAAAGCCAGAAGTTCAGAGAAGAGGCACGTGCTATAGCAAAGGTAGCTGAGTGAAGGTGTCACAGACACTTTGAAGTCAGCACACTTGAGACCTTGCGGAATTCATTATACACTTCAGACCTCAGTGTCTTTATCTGCTAAATGGGGATGGGCTTATTAATAAACCCATATTTATTGTGAGTTTTTAGAGGTCATGCATAAGACATATTTCTCGAGCCTGGCGTCCAGCAGAACGGAATGTGTCTGAATTCGCCAGGCTCCCCGTTTTGCAGTGTTGGCAAGGAAGGAAGGTCTAACTAGCAGGTGATAAAAACTTGCAGACAGCTTCACTCAAGGCTAGAATCACTCTGGGCAGCCTAAATACTGGGAAAGATTTCAGTTGAAAATATTTTCATAATATACTGATGGAGGGTAGATCTGAAGAACTGTGTTCCTTTGGTGTATTCCAAATAAGGAGATACTGAGGGGGCAACCGAGAGACTCCAGTCTTCTCTGAGGGAAACGCTGGCACTGTTTGTTAAATCACTGATCACCTTCTAGGCTCCATTATTTCCAGTGATAATCTGGCATAAACGTAAGCGAACAAATAAGGAGAATGAGGAATGCAAGACTTCAAATATTCAAAATACCACTCCTTCTCAAAGGCCTTCACATATCAGTTAACTGGCACCTTGGGGACAAAACACATCCCCAACATCCCAAGGCACCTAGGAAATCCCATGAAATTCCACAGCAACAAGCTGAGTCATCTGGTCCCCAAAATCAATCCTGTAACTGAACAGACCCATTCATCACAGGCAACCACATGCTGAAGGGTACAGGAAGGACAGAGAATAAAGGAGACTGAAGTGGATGCCTTTGGGCACTTTTTTCCTTATAAACTATTTGCTGTTCTTTTTGTTTAAATTACTTAACTACGTTTTGTGTTATTTTGACAAAGCATATCAAGGTTTCTGTTATCTCCTAGAATACTGTTTTTCAGCAGACATTACCTCTCCTACTATATTTCAGAGGCCTGTTAGTGACTGCGTTCCTTTTGCCCCTGGGTAGAGAGAAACTGCACAGAGGCTGATGTGGTTCAGATTCTTATCGTCTACCTCTGTTTTTCGCTTCTGGCCAGGTGCTACAGAGAATAACACAGAGGTCAGGCCTCTTCGTGCCCTGACATTTCAGCCAAGTTACACTGTAGTGATTCAGCAAACTATTTTTCCAGCGTCTAATCAGTTTACCTTCAAATTTCCATTTCTGCAAATACTAATAAGAAATTTAACACAATCACGGAAGAACTCCGTCAAACAAAGACACAGTGTCTGAAGCAAGCAGGGCTCAGAGTTCAGAGGAGCAGGGAAAACAGATGGGATCAGGAATACAGCTGCGTAGTCAGGGCCCAGGCCCAGTGGGCCTAAGCAGGCTCTGTACCCAGTTCCACCAACCCGTTTCTGCTGGTGAGGCAGATGGGCGACCATCTTCCTGTCGTTATTCTCAGCATGACCGAGATAGCACCTCCCTGGACCCCAGCGCCACAGCTTGCTCTGAGGAGTGGACCCACCTGTAGCCACTCAGCATTGGTTTTTAGCCTAACAGGCTACTGAAAGATTTCTGCTCATTTATAAAATACTTGGCTTTCTTTAAAAAATAATTTCTATATTTGTAAAAGAAAACAAAAAAAATGTTTTTTCGTGTGTGTGTATGGTAAGGGAGGCAATGATGGCTGTTTAGCAAGAACTGGAGGAAGTTTCCTTAAAAGCCTCTCTCCCACCCTCCCTTCTCTCCTCCTCCACTCCAGGTCCTCCTCCTGGGTATGAAACAGGAAGTGTCACACCCCTGCGCAATACTACCCCATACTGTGCCTAGAATGACACATGCCACGTGGCCTGCTGGAAATAATGAAAAAAGATCTTATTTATAATTGCATCAAGTGCTCATTTCAGCAGCACATAGACTATAACTGCATCAAATTCTAAACTACCAAAAAGGGGCAAAACCTAACAACAAGAGTGTGAAAATGCTTGAGAGGTCTGTTTGTGACAGGCAGATAATAGACTTAAAACACCAAGACTCAGATCCCAAAGGCACATGTGTGTGAGGCAAAGAGGGTGAGCGTTCCCAGCATGGGACTCTCCTCAGAATCCCCTCAATTCTAGGGCAGATATCAAGAATCACTTTTCCTGTCTGCCAGTAACCTCAGGACACTTGTTGGGGAGCAGGGGGGTGTGCATGCCACCCCACAGGTGACAGTAGGTCTAATCAGGTGTAAATAGGTTCACAGCGGATAAGGCTCTTAAGGAGAGGGGAAGGTGCTTGAGAAACACAGTGACATTTAGCAAGGCTGAACTGTGGCAAGCGTTCATGCTCTCCCACAAAATGTATGTGAAATGGAGTGTGGTGTTAACCAGTGTGGCGTCTTTTAGTTTCTTTCAGTTTCTTACGGGATCACGCTCCCTAAGCCAAGACAATCAGATTGGATCGATCAAACAATACCACCAGAAATACTTTCCTTGTGCAAACCTCCAATATATGTAGATTTATTCATGAATTCTATAAAATGTACTGATGTCCTAGTATATTAGAATATTGTAAGACATATATTCAGTAGAACAATGAAAAAGAATGAGGGCAAATTAAATATAAATTGAAGTTATATATTTTTCTTCTTGCACTAAAGAAGATGGTAAATTTCATATAAATAGAAGTTACACATTTTCTCTCTTGTACTCGGAGAGACGGTGTTGGACAGTCCCACTGTGCAGGCTGGTGCCCTGTGGGATAATGAAAACAGCGCTGCCCTTGGCCCTGTCTCACTTCTGGTCTTGGCCTCCAGTCTATTCTCCCTAGAGCAGCTGGAGAATCCTTTGCAAATGTGAATCACAGCATGTGTGTCCCTTTCAGGGGACCTTAATACAATATATATATATATATATAGTGGAGTCACTGTTATACACTGCCCTACTTCAAATGCCACTACCTCAGGGCCTTGGCATGTGCTATTCCCTCTGCCTGAAATATTGTTTCTCTCCCATTTCATTCTTCATTCAGGTCGCTTCCTAAATGTCTTCTCCTCAGAGAGCACTACTCTCACTAACTTACTCATGAAGGCAGATTTTGTCACTTTAGCCCCAGCACTGCGTCATTTTGAAATCAGACTGTATATCGAATGTGGGTGACAGCCAGCTTCCCCTGCTAGCACATAAGCTTCAGGCAGGTATTCATTTCGTTCATAGCAATACCAACTGCACTAAAGCGGCGCCTGCCTCAGGCCTGTTTAACTTTGAATGAATACAAATTCCATCCTAGTTTTAACAAAGACTAAGTA